ATATTGACCCTACATTTCGTTTATTTTCGGACGAAATTCTCCGCATACTTAATCATTACCAAAAACGAAAAAGGAGCTCCAAACTCACACACCAACAAAAATGTGGTATGCGCCAGGTTAGAGAGCTCTTGAATTCAAAATCTGTTAGACTTTCTATTAGTGGTAAAGGTGGGGAATTTGTAGTTTTCCCTAGTCACTTGGATATTAGGATAACAGAGGAGCAGCACAATGATGTTTCTCTCTATCGAACATCCTCTGAAAAGAAATACAGGAATCAATACCGAAAATTAAATCAAGAATGGGTCAGCACGGCAAAGGCCGCAGGCTTAGAGCCTTTAGTTATTTCTCGATTTAAAAACGAACACCCGATTTGCCCTGTCCTTTACTTGCTTATTAAAACACATATGCTTACTTCAACTGATGATATTACGTCAACGAACCCATCATCACGTAAAGCTAGACCTATCATCAGTTGTGTAGGCGGGCCAACGGATAGAATAACGTGGTTCCTAAACCTTCTCCTAACGCAGGTGCTAAAATTCATTTCAACTCATCTACCAAACAACCATCTACGGCGCGCGCAACCAAACAGCACGCATGTAATGGAGTCGTTCGATGTTACGTCACTTTATACCGTGTCCAGTGACTCCACAATGCAAGCCATTCTCGAGTTGCTCGTAGAGCTCGAAAAGAAAATAAAAATATACGGCTTGTCGATTGCACAACTAATGACTGTCTTAAAACAGTGTCTTAGTTGTTCAGTCTTTAGGTGGTCTGGAAAATATTTTGCACAAATTAGAGGGTTGGCGATGGGGCAGCGTTTAGCACCAAGCCTTGCCATCGCTTTCATGTCTAAGGTGGAAGCTCCAGTTCTCGATCACCGACCCTTACTCTACTGTCGATACATAGACGACGGCTTCATCGTCTGTTCCACACAAGAACAGATGGATGAGTGCTTTGAATTATTAAACCGACAGTCAGAGTATATAAAATTTACACGAGAAAAGCCAACCGAGAACTGGCTTCCATTCTTAANAAAATATTTTGCACAAATTAGAGGGTTGGCGATGGGGCAGCGTTTAGCACCAAGCCTTGCCATCGCTTTCATGTCTAAGGTGGAAGCTCCAGTTCTCGATCACCGACCCTTACTCTACTGTCGATACATAGACGACGGCTTCATCGTCTGTTCCACACAAGAACAGATGGATGAGTGCTTTGAATTATTAAACCGACAGTCAGAGTATATAAAATTTACACGAGAAAAGCCAACCGAGAACTGGCTTCCATTCTTAAACATCCAAATAAAGCTCTCGGTAAGTGGCTATGTAACAAAATGGTATCGCAAGCCAAGTAGTAATAGCATTCTAGTCCACTGACTATCCTCTCATCCTTCACACATGAAAAAAGCACTTATCAAAAATATCTATCGTACGGCTAAGAATGTGTGCACGGGAGAAGAGGAAAGGAAGGAATCGCGAAGCCTGGCACGAAAAATTACCATTTCCAATGGCTACGAAGTAGAAGCCACTCGGGTTAGAGGAAAACATTGGGTAGTTTCCCAAAATAATATTTCAGACGAAAGTAGGATCCCCTTTAAGCTGCCCTTCATATCAAATGAAGTAAGTCACGCAAATAAGACGTGCTTAAGAAAAAGAGGTCTTGAAAATTATGTGATGATTATTGACATTCCACCCAATACCCTACGCCGCCTGTTAGTTCGNAAGCCTGGCACGAAAAATTACCATTTCCAATGGCTACGAAGTAGAAGCCACTCGGGTTAGAGGAAAACATTGGGTAGTTTCCCAAAATAATATTTCAGACGAAAGTAGGATCCCCTTTAAGCTGCCCTTCATATCAAATGAAGTAAGTCACGCAAATAAGACGTGCTTAAGAAAAAGAGGTCTTGAAAATTATGTGATGATTATTGACATCCCACCCAATACCCTACGCCGCCAGTTAGTTCGAAACCCTCTCTATGATCGTTTGTGCAGCTCAGAAAACTGTATGATCTGTCCTAACGGGAGAGACGGGGATTGCATTAGTTTAGGTATAATATACTTGATCTCATGTAATGCATGCGGCGAGGAATATATCGGGGAAACGAGTAGACCACTTTGTGTCCGCATAAAAGAACATCTAGATGGAAAAGCTTACATCCGTTTAAACACCCCTCTAGGTACGCATAGGGCACAAAAGCACAACGGCGATGATTTTGAAGTGAATGTGCGGATCCTAGCGTAGGAATCAAAAACATCAACGCGCATCTTGAGGCGTTTTAGATAAGTTTCAAAAATACAAAGATGAACCGGAAAGACGAATGCCTCACTATCACGCGCGACCTGGCGCCCTATTTCAAATGTTATTTTGACTCCGGGGCGTGTCTTGCTCGCGACTCCACGTGAACTACGTGTGAGCCAGTCCCGCACGTAACATCACAGTGAGTGGCCTTTCTGTTCAATATGGCGTCTATTTGAAAGTTTGATCTTCATTAATACTTTAACCTTCTTTTCCACCGAATAATAAAAAGTATTCTAACATAAAGTACGTCCAGGCTCTGAGGAAGGCGAAGTCGCCGAAACGTCAGCCATCGATCAATAACATCAAAAACAACGACAACGAAGATCTGTACCAACCTCGCGTCAGCTTAAGAAGATCAGTTTATAAGATCACATAAATATATCAACTATCTATGCCGAGGTTCATAGAAAGTCGGTCTTTCGAATTTCCCGTCTGTTCATTGGGTTCATTGAGTATCGTCTCTGCTCCACTGATACTCCTCGAAGAGATGGCAACGTCAGCCGCTAAATGAAGACGAAAAATATTTCTTACAAGCACGTTTTTAGTGTGTGAGGGACGAGAGGAGAGGTAATCAACCACTCTGTTCTTATTACTTGGCTTTCGGTATCATTTCGTAATGTGGCCGTTTTGGAATAAGTTAATTTAAAAGTTCAGAAATGGAGGCCAGTTGTCTTTCGGCTTATCTTGGGTGAACTTTATCTACTCTCAGTGTTCGTTTAATGACTCAATGCGTTTGTCCATTTTGTCCATCTCCTCTTGTATGGAGCAGATGACAGAACATTCATCCATGCATATACAGTCGGAGATCGATTACTGGTGCTTTCACCCTAGACACGAAGGCAATGGCAAGGATTGGTGGCGTCGCCTGTCCTATTGTAAGCCGTCTAATTTGCGTTTAATATTTTCCGGATCCTGTCAACGGCTTACCGCTTCACTGTGGCTGGAAAGTGTTTCTGGGTGTCGTACTGAGAAGCACAGCAGTGATTGATCCTCCAACAGGGCCTCCTAACCTGAAAAGGAGCCCAACGTTTCCAACAGGATGCCTTGCTAAGAATAAACCAATACCAGGACCAGCTGGTATCAAACTAGTAGGACGGAGTAAATCTCTCTCTGATTCACAAGGGCCGCGACTACCTGGGATGATGACGACTGAGGAAGACTTTAATCAGGTTGACTTCGGGGCGCCATGGAACCACAATCGCTATACAGGCAAAGCTCCGAAAATGTGGAAATTATGCTGCTGTCTGCATAGCCTGTGAGGAAAGGCCATCAAACTATCCAAGTGTTTCTCGGACGATCTGAAGATCGAGCGGTTTGGGCACACCTTTTGGAATCGTTAAATCAAGAAATCGTAAATTTTTATGACTCATTTCGGTTGAACAGGAATCTCGCTGTTGGCTCGCATTGCGGAGTCATTCGACACGTTAGTATCAAGAGCGGTATTGTAGGAGTCCATATCACACGCGCAGTTAGAACGCCCGTTCCTCAGGCGATCCAGGAATATTTGGGTAATGGTGCAACGCACTGGTATGTGCTTCAGCAACTGGATGACGTTTAAGTTTATAAACTGAGCTATTCTATCCGTGGGTACGTCTACACAACTGATGACCCATCTAACCTTGAAAGTTGAGGGGTCAGATCATCAGTGGATATTAAGCTGTGAGTCTTGATAAGTATAAGAGGAAACACGTTGGCAATGGGATTTTAAGATGCAAATTAACTGATGGTTTTAAACATGGTGCGCTTACCACTTTGATCCATTCGCTGTTAAATCTTCGATATTGACCTTTGAATTTTTTTCAGATAATGAGAGATAAAGCGAGGCTCTACAAGTTTTTCCGTTATCTCAACATCTAACTCTCGAAGAATTACCACAAACTCCCCACACTTATCACTAACTTGTAGTCCAATAGTTTTTGGTTTTATTCTCGCGATAATGGTTAAGGACTTCTAGAGTTTCGTTCGAAAATCTACGCAGATTTTGCTAGGGGTTGAGATTCCCACTTTACCTCTCAGTTCGACACCCAGGACCACCCAATCACAATGATAAGGTAAATCTATGAGAAGAGGCCGCAAAGCCGTAAATAAAGGTTAAAAACACCGTGATTTTGACCTCAGGTCCATCTTAACGAGGTTCAGTACCGAATTGTGCTCCCAGATCATTCTCGCTTACCGATGATTGCTAAAAGCACCGTTTGGATGAAAAACTGGCTTAGAGAAAGGCAAAGTAGCGGCCTCGGTGCTCGGTGGTCCACTGGATAAACGTGAACGAGTGAAGGGTAATCGCGGGCTCGAAGCTCAGCTGAGGTGCCAAGTTTTGCTGATGTCTCAGTATCCTTATAATCTATTATTGTTGTGGCAAAATAAGTGCCCAATGAGAGGCTCGCATATATCTTTTATTGCTCGAAAACAAACATCTTGTTATGCTGTTGAAGTGCTCAAAATTTTGTTTGATGACAGTGCAGTTTCGTAGAGATAAAGCGGAAGGAAAATAATAGGCAACTACGAAGATTCTTATTACAATAGCTATCTGCAATGCACATTTATTTTTTATTCTTCCTAAGGTGTTCCTCTTTGTAAATGAGCACTTCGCGCTACTATTGTAAGGTAAGCCAATTCGAGTTTTAAAAAATGAAAACTGAGAAACATAATGTCTAGTACAATAAGAAGAGCTGAGATAGCAAAGAAAGCGGAAGCAGAGCCTAGAGTGGATACATAATTCCTTTTCCACCATCAACTCTCAGTAGTTCGCCTGTCGTGAACGAACTCTTATCAGAAGCGAGGAACAGAATAGCCTCAGCCACTTCAGATACTTCTCCTACACGTCCAAGCACATGTGTTGATTTTCCTTTTTCCAAGAACTTAAAAGAACAGAATTTCTACAAATGGGAAATAGTGGGGAAAAGATCTGCAAAGCACTATTCAAGTCTACCTCTTGATAACTGCTTTCGTCCATGCCCGATCTCCTTTGTATTTCGGTAACTATAACGCCTGGGCTAAAAGTGGATCATTTTACAATGTTGACTTTTTTATTTACTGCCTACAACAATTTTTTACGTCAGCGTATTGTGTGAAATGCAACTACAATGATGCTGAGGTATTTGCAAAGTTCTGAACCGAAATGTCTGCGGTCGCGATCGAACACGTTGTTACACTTACCGGGAGCTAACGCATTTACCACCAAACCATGCGGGTCTTTCGTTTCGCCTGTCCCTCAGCAGGTTTTTTATTGATCAGTGCCATTAGCAATCACGCGTTAACGGGATTGATTTGGGGAGCTCAAACCGGCCACCAGCGGTCCGGAGTTTTTCAAATGTTTCAGCATCATTGTGGTTGCACTTCTGTCTTATTCCAAATCATAAGCGAGATTTCGTGATCCTCGACCACTTATTTAAAAACACCAAGATGGCTATATTATAGGAATGAGTGATCCGAGTTATTTTCAGTTTGAGCAACATAGTCAATCAATGTAGTGAAACTGCACTTCTACGAAATTACGGGAACAAAAAAATGAACCTACTTCACAGAATTAACGCGCACTCCGTGAGGCCCCATCTCAAGAGCTAGGCATTTCGTGAACTGATCTAGAGCCGATTTCGACATACAGTAGTACGTAATGCCAGCAAACTGAAAACTATGTCAAAACTGTTCAGCTTCCTTGAGTAGATCCAACCAGAAAATTACACCGCGAGAAAGAAACATCGCCCAAAACTGTCGTAGCAGAGAAACCATACCGGGCATAGTCCTGCAATGCTTGACACGTTCACCACCGTTCCTCTAGACTTTATTATGTGGGGAAGAACTAGCCTTGTCAGTTGGACAACACTAAAAAAGAGCACTGTAAATCCATATTAGGTCCCGTTGGAGCTTCGTAAAATATCGATCTACCTTCTTACATTAACGTCCATTTGGCGATCGAATAAGTCTAAATCAGCATCGATGACGCTTCCATTGGTCAATATTCCCGCATTGTTGACCTGATTTTGAATTTCTATTTGAACAGCAGTTATTATTTCGAACGCGAACGAGTACACTGTTCCATATAGTAAGGTTAAAGTCGTCCGGTTAACAAAGTGCCTTACCAGAGTATGAACATGCTGATACTGCTTTATGGTGTTATCAAGAAGCTTCTGGGCATTCGATTGAATGCAAAGATCACCAGCAGTGACAATCACCTTGATAAAACGGGTTTGTCATTAATTATGTTAATTAATCCTGAATGGCAAAAGTAAAACAGTCTTTAAACAACACAGAAAAAAAGGATTCACCTGTAGTTTTTTCAAAATTTGTTTCTGTTAATCACTAGTCTAACCGAGAAAAGGCGAAACAAAGGATCCACATAGCGTGGGGGTGAACGCGTTATCCACCGGAAAGTCTAGTAGTGTGTCCGATCACCACCGCAGATACCTGCGGTCCGGAGTTTTGCAAACAACTCAGCATCTATTAACCATTTTTGAAAATGTCACTAACTACTGAGTTGTTCCGATTGGTAAATTAGGTTTGCCTTCTTATTTGTCACCACATAACCTAGGTGCGAATCCGCNCACCACATAACCTAGGTGCGAATCCGCCACAACTGCCTCTGTTGTTGAAAATTTGCGGGAATGGTAGAAAAAACAGATGGGTGGAAACAATGCTAAGTAAATTCGATGTACTAACATCAGCAGCTCCAGCTTCCTTACACAATTTGGCTGTTTCGGACAGCGCTTCTTCGTCTCGACCGCTCAGCGATAACGCATATCCTTCACGAGCGAAACGTACAGCAGTACCCTTTCCTATTCCCGACGAAGCTCCTGGAATAAGAATCAAGTACAGAAGGTTGAGAAAAGCATAGAAGGTTTGCACATACCCGTTATTATAGCCACAAGAGCCATGTCTGCCACACACCTAAACGGTTTAAATATGAGGCAAACGGATTCCAACAGCACATTTTCCGGAATTTCACATTTTGCAAAGCAACGAAATAATGCTAAATACTGCTAAATAAAAAATTATTTTTAACAACAGATTACAACTGGTAAAATTCGACCAAATTTCAATAAATTATATTGGCAATACTAATATGTAGTAGAACAATTTTTAATAGATAACAATAAGAGAGCGCTGCTGGATGAGCATGGCTCATTCGTGCGGTGTTCACTGAAGAATATCCAGTCTTGGTACGACAGCGAAGACGCCACCTCGAGATAACGAACTATTGTGGGCTACCGACACGGATCATCGGCTCTGATGAAGACGAAGACGTCGAAACGTTGGCCGAAGGAAATTTGTTCATCAACCTCGTGTAAGTTCAAAAATTTTAAAAAGATGTTTGTATGTAGTAGTTTAAAAATTTTTATCACTTCAATGACAAAGCAGCACAGCATTAACGATACGTCTCTCTATGTAACAAACCAGGTTTTTAGCTTGGATCCAATAATAGGTTTGCATAGGGCTCGAAGCTCACCAGAGCTTCCAAGTTTTGCTCGTAGCTCAACACTCTTCTTCCACCATCAGTTTTAAGCAGTTGTCCGGTTGTAAATGATTTTTTCTCAGAAGCCAAAAAATTTGCTTCTGCAGCTTCTCTCCGTTCCATAAGGTTTGCGAGTGCATGCGTCGTTTTACGACAGGTTGTTGCGTGAATTGCAAACACAATGATACTGAGGTATGAGCAAAAAAGTGGTTGGAAGAAACGCAAAGCCAGGACCTCGGTGGTGTAATGAAGCCGTTGATGGAGTAGTCGCGGGTTTGAAGCTCACCTGAGGTTTGCAGTTTTGCTCGTACCTCAAGATTCTTGTGGTTGTATTTCACATAATATCACATAATTTTAAAGATGCATGGATAAAAATACCCTAAAACAGTTCCATCACAATAGGAAAACGGAGGTGTCGAGTGGTGGGAACGCCAGTGTTTAAGCCTCTTTAGCCAACCGCGGCTGTTCTATTTTACCTTAGAGCTGTGGAAATGTTGTGCGGCTACAGACCTCTAAATCGTCCTCATACGTCACTACCGCACCAGAAATAGCTTTGCACAGGAGCGTAAACAATACTCTGTCCTATTAGATGTAATGAATACAGCGGAGACGATTTTGAAGTGAAAGTCAATATCCTTGCACAGGAGTCCAAAACACCAGCGCGAAAACTCCTTGAGGCTTTTTGGATCAATGCCAAAAGCCCTACAATGAATAGCAGGGACGAATGCCCGGAGATCATACGCGACCTGATCTCGTACGTTCGCATCGATTTTTGATGTGGGATGGTGCAGTCGTCAACCACATGCGACTATAATCAGCTGTTCTAAACTTCCTCATTGGAAGTCACGAAAAAGCGGTGGGTTTTTCGAGAAGTTGTTGATTATGTAATTGCCAGAGAGTTCTTCGTCTTCTTGTAAGTGTTATTGAAGCGTTTGGCCTAGTAGATTGTATATCAGCATACCCTTCCAGGCTCTGAAGACGGCGATACTGCCGAAACGTCAGCTAGCGTTGTATTGTATTGTGTTTTCATGGAAGTAAATGTATGCTGTTTAAAAACCTCGCGATTGCTGAACAAGAAAACGACACATTCGTAATGAATACACTTTTATTTAGAGTGCTAATGTTCCCGCAAAGATGTGTGCCTTAGGGAGTAAACAAGAGTGGACAGATTCTGTTTAGAGTGAGTTTGGAGTGACCTACTGTTGTTATTGTTGTTGTAGCAAATACTTCGTATCACATCTGTGCAGGCATAAATCATTACCATAAGGAATATAGAATAAAGTTATTGTAAAGGATATGGTGTCCTACTATAAGGTGCCTATTGGTCCTCGGCAAGAAATGTCTCCACAATGTCAGAGACTCATCGCTTGGTGATAAGGTTTGTTTTGGCTCATTTACTATTCTTGCAATTGGCCCACTATCAACTAGGTTTCAGGATGGGTCTTGAGCTCGACTTCATTTTCGGAGAGCCAATTAGAAGCACGAGTCGCTACTTTACAGTTTAACACCGGAATGCCACACGGATCACCCATTTAGGTGACATAAAATGATAGGCTAAGTCACATTCGATTTGTTTCAAGGTGCATCCAAACGAAGAAAGAAGGGTAAGTTAGATTAAGTTTATTGAGGGTTATTCACCCAAGTTTTATTTAGTTTCCAACCAGAAGAAGAAGTTTAATGAGAAGGCAAATGTCAGCATGAACAACAGTAGACGGTGGAATCGAAAATTGGCAGGAGATGTAGCATTTATATGAACCCAACTGACCGCAACCGGTTTACAACGACCATAAATGTCAACGAAAAAGTTTAAAAAGGTGGAGCTACGTCTTCTGTAGCAAATCATTTCGAGATTTTACACTTTAAAAGAAAAGCATTTTAGAAGCTTAAACGGTGTTGGAGTGTAATAAATCTAGCCGCGAAACGACACTGAGGGCATCCTAATATGGCTGCCGTTGAGAAAAATCTCCCACTGACAAATGGCGTTGAGATAGAAGTCGTTCTGATGATACCAATAGATTTTTCGCCCAGTCCCGTGATAAAAGCAGATTTCCACGAAGCAAACTTGACTAGGTTGTTAAAAGTTGAATCACTCAGAGCGAAAAGTAAAACAATACCGGCAGCTCACCTGAGGTTCCGAGTTTTGGTCGTATGTCAAGATCGCTGTGCTTGTATTTCACATAATACCTTAAGAAAAAAAAATAATAAGCAGCAAATAAAAGTCAAACATTGTAAAAGCGGTTGTTATTTAAGTTGCGTGCTGGGGAAAAATATCCATAGAACGGCAATGTTGCTGAGATATTTGCAAAACTCCGGACCGTTGGTATCTGCGATGAGAACACACACGCTACTACCCTTTGCGGGGTCTAACGTGTTCACCATCACACCATGCGAGTCCTTTGTTTCGCTTGTCTATTAGCCGTGTTATCGACAATTGACGACATTGCGGTCTATACCATCGCTTCGGTTTAGCTGGGTTCATGCCGATTTGTGCTCCACAGGTCACTCCTGTTGACGAGTGATTGTTGATAGCACCCATAGGTCAATAACACTGCTGAGAAACAAGCAAAACTAAGGACTCTCATGCTGTGGTGGTGAACGCGTCAGTCCCCGGAAAATGTAACAGCGCATTTGTTCCCCACCATCGGCACCAGCTGTTCGTATTTTTGCAAATATCTCAGGAACATTATGGTTATATTTTACATAATACCCAGCCATTAAAAATTAGTAGGCAGTAAATAAAAGTTGTCGAAATATCCATAGAATTCTACAGAATCATTTCCTAGAGAATAATACGAGACTTAAGCGGGAAACGTTGGAAAAATTGTGCAATAGAATCATTTATCAATTCTAATAATGATCAACTGGGCCGGCAAGAGTTGAATACAACGCATTATGGCATCCACACTGATTTAAGCGCTGGAGCAGAAGTACTAAGGCTTAAATAGTATTTAGTCGGTCACGAAATTGATACAAAATGTGTTTAACAATGGTCTCTTTCTACTACTGTTTTCCTTGAAAATTTCTCATTGGCGGTCATTTTAATGGTCATCTCTATTCATTTTTTTGCAGGAGCATTCAACAACAACAACAACAACAACAACAACAGCAACAACATAGACAACTTGTGCCAATCTTATCAGCTCAGCGGAGCGCAGTTTGTAAGAATATGTAGATATATCGGTCCATGGTATTGGTAATGATGTCCGTCATCATGAGCACTGTGCCAATTCGATCCCTCTGAGTCAGGAAATCGGCACCGAACCTGTCTGAAAAAAAATCATTCTCTGCACTCCAACTGGAAGCGCTTCAGTCCCGCTATGTCACTACTCCAGGGAGAATTGTCCGATCAGTACTCTACGGCATTCAAAATGAAATGAAAATCCTGAAGCAGCAGCGGAAGCCACACGTAAAGTTGGAAGGTCTTCGTGGACAACGGATGCGAGGAAACGAATCTAATGTGGAAAGTGCTGGGATCCTCACAATAGTGTGAAGACGGGTTATATGAAATAAAAAAATAAAAATAACTTATGCGAAAGTTTATAGAAAGTCGGTCTTTCGAGTTATTCTGCAGGGCCTTATTACCTTGGGATTGGTTCTTCCCATTTTCTTCCAGATTCTCATAAATTTTCCTTTTAGACTTTTCTGAGGTTTCTTTGTTTGCCTTGTTTTTATGAGCTAAAACAATGTCAGTAAGTATCATGTTGATGTGGGTTAATTTTTAGCAACAAAGGGAAACTGATGCTGAGAAATTCAGCGACGATATATTTGAGGCATGAACGAGACGTATCATGCCGGAGACTCAAGTAAAATTTGTACACGCTACGAACCTTTCCTCCCTCGGCAATCTTCAGGATAAATTCTGCCTAAGTTTTTGTCCACACAAAGCACCGCTAGAGATTATGCAAAATGGTTTCACACATAATTTGTCCACGTTCCCAATAAGTACATTCGAATTAATTATGCATGCAAAAATCAAAAAGCTTCATGAAAATATAAACACTCGAAAAAATGATAATGACTGTTTGTAAGAAAAACTCGAATGGGGACATAATTACAAAAATTAACCTGACTCTTTATTGAAGCGTTTCTTGCTTCCAAATAGATTTTAAGGAGATTCGTTTTCCAGACATGCAGAAATTTGTAGGAGCCGTGTTACTTATACGACATAATATTGCAATTTCAAGTTCCCCTTTATATGAGCCTGTATTTTCTGTTCATATCTTCTGTTCAGATCTCAGCACTTGCATCTGATTCATTTCCTCGAATCCATAGTCCATGAAAGACTTCGAACTCTTCACGTGTTCATTTCGCTGCTGCCTAAGTAATGTGGTCTGCCTAATGAATGCCGTTGAACGCT